ACTGAGCCACCCAGGCGCCCCTAGTTGGTAAGTCTTGATGAAACATACAGACCTTTTGGTTTTGGCTCTAGCAATTTCTTTTGACTAAAATCTTGTCTTTGTTCCACCCACTTCCTTTTCTGTCCGGGCCTTCCTGGTGTAGGTGAGTCCTGCTGGTGGTCACAGCTCCCAGCCTCCAGTTTCTCCTGATGGTGTCTACAAGACAACAAAGCAATAGCGCATTTCTCTTCTCACAACATTCAATTAAAATACTGTCTCTCTGGAGATGCCCGAGAGCCTCTGACCCAAAGTTAAGGCTGTGTGATATTAAAAACATTTAACCACAAGAACCCCTGATGCCTGACCAGTCAGCATGGATGCTGGCCAGTGGTGCTGGGGACTGGCTATCAGGAACAGAAAGCAAGGAGATCCTGGGAGCACAACAGATGGTGGCTATTACTGTTCGAAGCTTTATGTGTGTGTCATAATAACAAGAGTGAATATTAGTTATTTATTATGTGCTAAGCACTACACTAAGTCCTTTGCATGGATCATGTGATTAAATCTTTTCAATATCCCGTGCCATAAATATTATTATTGTTATTATTATTCCCATAGTGGAGGGAAGTGAAGGCTTGGAGCTGTAACTCCAGCTCTTGGTAGACTCCTTGGGACACAGGAGGCATTCAATAACAATCTGATTGAGTGAATGTTTTGGTTATTATAAAGCAACTCTTTTATTCCCACTATCATATCAGAATTGTTCTCCCCATCGAGACAGGAGACTAATTTGCCCAAGGCCATTTTTTTTTAAGTAGGCCCCACACCAAACACGGAGCCCAATGTGGGGCTCGAACTCATGACTGTGAGATCAAGAGCTGAGCCGAGATCAAGAGTCAGATGCTCAACCGACTGAGCCACCCAGGCGCCCCTGCCCAAGGCCATTTAGCTTATAAGTAGCAGAGCTAGTATTTGAACCCCAGCAGTCTGGTTCCAGAGCCAACACTCTTGACCACTGAAGAGTGTGGCTTGACCTAGTAATGGAGAGCCACAAGGCCAAGGATAAGGTCGTAGAGGGGACAAGTGCCTGAGGCCTAAAAGGAAGGGACCACAGGCAGTACTCGTGTGTAGCTTTCTTCTTGATTGGCAGCAGGATGCCCACCACTTTACCACTGTGAAGTTACCCAGGAAACATGAGCTACAGTTCGGGGAGCCCAGTGTGGGTCCTCTGTGCCCCTAACTCCTTTCCCTTTTGAGCAGCTGAGTTAATACAGAATGGACAGTGCGACCGCTGTGGAGCCAAAGAGGGAAGGCTGGGCCAGGTGGGCATGCAGAAGCCTGCCGTCTGATGGGAGAACTGCTGGCCAACGAAGAGGGCAGACTCTTCCCTGCCGAGCCCGAAAAGTCACTCCTCTTCTTAAGTTGCTGTGCTGCATATGGTCTGCTGGCTCAGTATCCAATCCTGCCCTAAACACACTTCCCAGAGGTCCCTGCGGCATGTTCTCGATGTGACAGAGATTCTGCTGATGAGATTCACTCACGAGAGACTCGGAAGGAAGAAGGGAGGCAGAGGCCATCTTTCTGGGCTGTGGAGCCTGAGAAGCATCTCTTAGGGCATGAGCGTGGTGGCCGGACTCCATACTCCACTGTCCAGTCACCAACTTTAGGAGACTGAGACAGGTGAACAGCCGTATTTGTGGTGGCAGAGGCAGGAACAGCTTCCTGAACGCTGACTGCAGCTAAGGAGGTATGACCTTGGAACAGACCTGACTTCTCTGCTGCCACCCCTTGACACTTTCGCACGAGCACCTAAATCCCTTTCTGCTTTTGGGGCGCCTGGCTCAGTCAGTTGAGCGCCCAACTCCTGATTCTGGCTCAGGTTGTGATCTCAGGGTTGGGGGGATCGAGCCCCACAGCTGGCTCCATGCTCAGCATGGAGTCTGCCTGAGGGTTCTCTCTCTCCCTCTGCTCCTCCCCCAACTCATACTCTCTCTCTCTCAAATAAACAAATAAATAAAACCTTTAAAAAAGCAAAAACAAAAAACACTTCAGAGTGGTCTCTATTTCCTGTTGAAACCCTAACTGATATGTTTAGTACCAAAGGAATCAGAACTCTAAGAACAAGACATTAGACATGAAGGTTTTTCAGAAAGTTCTCTGATACTCAAGATAATATTAAGTAATAATTAGATGTCACTTCCTCTAGTTTCTGAATCCTCACCCGGAACTGTTTCAAAGGTGACAGAACAGAGATCTGGGACAACCCCCATATGTGGTCACGGAAGCAGCATGTAAAATCAGGGCCGTCCATGACCAAGTACCACTGCTTCTCTTGCTTCAAATTACCTGCCTCTCGGGCGCCTGGGTGGCTCAGTTGGTTAAGCGACTGCCTTTGGCTGGGGTCATGATCCCAGGGTCCTGGGATCGAGTCCCACATTGGGCTCCCGGCTCAGCGGGGAGCCTGCTTCTCCCTCTGACCCTCTCCCCTCTCATGCTGTTTCTCTCTCGCTCGCTCTCTAATAAATAAATAAATAAAATCTTT